GAAGTAATACAACCTGAAGTCCCTGACGCCCAGCCGCCGCCATCGGACTGTGTCGTCCCCACAACCACCGCTGTCCTCATTCAGGAGAGGAAGTGTGGACAACAGGAATGTGAGGAATGCAAAGGAGAAATCCTTCCTGCATATTATCCCATATGCTCTTTAGTAAAGTGTCTTGAGATAACACTTGTTATGAATTGGTGATAAAAAATAATGATTGATTGATGTAGGAAATCATTGTGTAGAGGATTCATGAGACCGGAGGAAGAATGATCAGACTGAATATGCCAGTTTAAAAAGATGTGTTTAGAGATGAGACTAAAAAATGGAGAGACAGTCAGTATTACGGATGTGTGGGGTGAGTGGGGCAGAGCGACTGAAGGCTCTGGACCCCATGGTGGTGCAGTGAGTTGAATGGAGGAAGAAGACCTGAGAGTGCGGGAGTGATGTGATTAACGGAGGGCCTTCTGGAGATGATGTGAGCAGCAGAGTCGAGGACTAACGCATCAGTAAAGAAAAGCGGTATAAAGTCTTAAAGAAGCAGCTGAACAAAGTGAACCACTGCCTTAAGTGATGTCACTGGAGTCAGCGTAGGTTGGAAAAAAGTATCTTGGGTTTTTGGTGTTAGAAAGTTGTGGGCTCACCGTGCCTCTTTAGGAAGGGCGGCAGTAGCTCAGTCTGTGGGGACTGTTGGGAATCGGAGAGTCACTAGTTCAAGTCCCGGTCCAGACCAAACTATGGAAGGGGTTTGGTCGGGAGGGCTGGAGGGTGAAGGTTTGTAAAGTAACGCCCTGCAGTCAACCGGTTGCTGGAGGGGTGCCAGGTCACCTCCTGAGTACTGCCGAGGTACCCTTGCTCAATCTCACCCTATGTAGCAGCCCCCACACCTCACTCTGACATCTCTCCACTAATGCATGTCCACACGTGTGTTTCTGGGCCTACTCTGTGCATGTCGTTCAATAACAGAGTGCAAAACAGAATTTAATAAGTAAAATATAAAAAAAAAGAAAAGAGTTTCCCGTTCCCATCATCTTCACTTCAGGCTCCGTGAGCTGCCACTACATTAACACGTCTGAATCACTTTGTGAACTATGCTAAATATGTGAATGACTCCCAACAAACAGAATTAATGTGGTTGCAAAATGCTGAAGGAAAGTGACCGGGGCTCTTTAAGTGCCCGAAACAGGAAGTGTCCTTCAGAGGAGAGTCAGCGAGGAGACGTTCAGCTCACCTCTCCTCGTCCCAGACATTAACCATCAGGGTAAAAGCACGGGAGGGATGGAGGGTGAAGGTTTGTAAAGTAACGCCCTCGACCGGCGTTTTATTTATAGAGCACGACCATCGTCTCTCCTTCTCTCTCTCCTCCTTGCACACTCCACAGGGACTCCTCCTGAAAGCTTGACTCAATTATTGATGAAGTCTGTTGAATAAGTCAGCAGGACGAGGCGGGGATTTAACCCATTGTCTGACGCTGAAGGGGGATCGAGACGAGACTCCATTAACAAAGATAACAGTTTTCACTCATTAGCACATCATGCTGTGAGGGCAGGCGAGGGTGGGGTCAGCTGACCCTTTAAGCCAATCCTCTGCATGCATGTGTGTGTGTGTGTGTGTGTGTGTGTGTGTGTGTGTGTGTGTGTGTGTGTGTATGTGTGTGTGTGTGTGTGTGTGTGTGTGTGAACTTGTGTTGGTTGAACGCTTCTCTAAGCCTTGCTTGCTGTGGCTGCACAATATTGGAACAAACTGACAGTGCTGTATCCTTTCGATCTGTCATATAAAATCATGAAGTCTGCGTTTGATAACGAGGCTTGATGCAAAGATAGCGGGACTTTCAGACATTTCAGCTCTCCTCCTCTGAAATGCTTCTTCTGTTCTAAACTAACGTTAGGACGGAGACATATCGGCCTCTGTGGCTCATTAGCATGCTAATTATCAAGGACGACCACATGAGAGTCAGAGAGAGGTGAAACGTCTTCAAGGGCTGTTCTTCTAAACCAAATACTGCTATCAAACCTAGTCTGTAGTGTTTACTGTATACTACATACTACATACTACATACTACGTTGTAGTGTGACCGCCAGTAGGTGGTTATTCCGCAGCCCAGCTAAGCTGGTTTCCGCTTGGAATGAGGAAGTAAACATCAGGCCAGCTGACTTTAAATGATGCTACAGTGTAGCGTCCACTTACAGTCTGAAAAAAGCTGACGAGAGATTCATTTAGATTTTCATGATTTAAAGAATCAACAAAGATAACTGGTGGTATCTTTGTGTGGTTTGGTGCTTTGCGTTGTGGGAAACAGTACGTGATAGAGACTGTTCTGATCCAGACTTTCCTGAATCTGAATGACATCAGGGCATATTTGTCAAACTGCGGATCACACATTTGTTCACATACTGCATTTTATGGACGTATCCCAGCGCGTGGACTCACAGTCACAAACAGTGAGAAATAATAAGCATGGAAGCTCGTTGTTTGCGAAACCATTTTAAAAAACACAATTCACAAGCCTGTATTGAACTGTGGACGGCGTACCGAGCGGTTCAATATTATATTGAGAATTGTTGCATAATCTTTATTCTTCATACTTGAGAACAGTTTAAAGTCTTTTACAGAGACAAAGGTCATGGTGGTCATGGTGAGCGAGAAGCGCAACAGACCTGAAACGGTTAAAACGACTTAGATTAGGGAACAACTATTCAGAAACAAAATGTTAAAGTCCGAGACAAACGAAGGAAACGTGCTGCAAACACAGAGATTTCACTTCACTGTCACGTCGATAACTGCAAACGCTTCTCGCCTCTCAACATCAATCAGTTTTTAAATACCACAGATCATCACCCCGATCTGAATTCAAACCGTGGCATTTCTCCCGTGTGGATATTTCATCTGCAGGGTCGGGTCACAGCAGAGAGCGACAGACTGATCGTCACCTCCTTCATGCATGCTTAACCATCACAGCAATTTCAAGCGTCACATTTGATTTTCCACCTGATGATTCACTTAATTTCTGAGACCTGTTTGACATGTCCATTCCTTGTCTCCTGTCATACGTCACCATGTTCACTGGTGCAGAGTCCCGGCCCAGGTGCAGAACAATACGGTACGCCTAAAGGGGAAACCCAGACTTTAATGCTTTAAATGCTGTTAAAAGAATCTAAGATGCTTTAAGAGGGAAACAAAACCCCGCTGAGTGATCAATCTGCTTCTTCAGTCTGCAAACATCCTGTCGAGTTCAGCTGGAACGCAGATCGAGCCGCACATCAATGACAAACGTATTTCTCTACTAGATGATGCAAATGGTAGCAACAGCTGAAGTGATGCCGCTTCACTCTCTGGCCTATTTTTAAGATGCTTCTATGCCCAAGAACAACAGTCGTGTCCTCAACGCTGGTTGGCTCCCAGAAACTGGCAAACAAAACTAGGCCAGAAGAAGAGCGTGAGGAGAGATGAATTTATTATGACCAGCACAAAGATGGAATCTCCTCCTTTCAAACGGGTGTGAAAAGCAGACTCTGGATAGTTAGAGCCACGTCCAGTGAGAGCGTATCCTGGTCTAATTGTGTTTGAAAGAAACCGGGGCCTCGCTCGGCTCCTCTTCACTCTTTTGTCAAGTAGGATTCAATTAGCTTCAGAGGGACACGGCGTGGATAAACAAACACGGCGTTATCCCACACAGACGATGTTCTGTGAACAACATGAATTACTGCAAACAGATCCCTGTCGTTATCTGACGCCATTTGTCCTTCATGTCGTACTTGTTTTGCTGTTTGTCTACATGCAGCTTCATGCAATCATACAAAGAGCAATAACAAAAAAGCAAGTTAAAGGAGCAATATGTAACTCTGACCCCTAGTGTTTAAAATGGGTACTGCAGCCCAAATTCTGAACTTTGTAGAGAGCTGTCTCCCCTCCTCTCTAGAGTCGATGCTCACACAGGTTGCCATGTGGTGGACACTGAAGCTTCAGTGTTTAGCCAGCTCTGCATCAGTCTGTAAACCTTTCTGTGTTCTAACCTCTCTCCATTTTTCAAAAGCATCTCCAATATTGATCCTAGTTTGAGCACGTTTCTGCTCGTGGAGCTTATTAGAAACATTCAGAGGCTTTTTAGGTCGGGTACAATCACTTCTATCTGAACCACTTCTCTTGACTGCTTCCATCGCTGCAACACCTGTTGGTTTGACCTGATAACTACTCTCATATCTGGCAAACCGAGGGGCGTCCAAAACGGCCGTGTGGGGGTTCCTTAAAACCGCCTACCTTCTCTGGTCCAAACAAATCCAGAGCATTCAGGACCAGAATCTAAAGTTAGAAGGAGGACATACTGGCTGCTGCATTATTGTCAGAGAAGCCAGCACTTCAACATAGCATGTTTCCTTAATGTCTGATCATTTAGTGAGGTCACTTTATCATCTCGCTCACTAAACATCATGTTAGGAATGTACTGTAGATCAAGATCTCATTTCCACGAGCGTCCCGGCTGAGACAGCAGCATCAACGTTTCACACAGTGAACAAAAAACAGACAACAAACAGAAATGACATCCATCAACAAATCACAAACAACACCAAACCAACGGTTGTCCCTACTTTGTCATCCTAAACACGGCCTGCTGTTCTCACAGATGAGCAGATGTTGTTTGAGGAGCGGACTATGAATGAATGCTTCCAGTTTCTCACTTATGGAACAAATACTGAAAACCACAGAACTCATCCTCCTGCAAAACATCAGTGTCGAGCAATCAGGAAAAAACAGAGTGAGGGGCAACGAGAGGCCACTAGTTTGCACCAGTACTGAGGGACTGTGGAGCCATCTTTGCTGGTGTGCTGTTGCCCCCTTGTGGCCAAACGTGATAGTTACACAAATCTAATTTTGTCCACAGACTATTCACAGTGACAATCTTGCACAACCCTGACACATATAAATGATATCACAGCTCTTTCCCTGCTTTTGTCCATTGAAAAAAGCACTTGAAAATTAGAGTACGTAGAAGTGTAGTCTCTTACCAGACTGGCTCCGAGGGCGAGCCTCGGCGAGATCTGAAATCGCTCCAGTCGTCACCGTCTTCTTCATGCGGGACGCAGAGGCAGCAGCTCCCAGCGCAGGCTTCGTCAGGGCGTCATCACTGCTCGCTCTCTTCAGCTACAAACACAGCTATTGTTAGTGTCAACAGTTACGTCTATTATGTGATCATGAATGTGTTGCTCTGTTTTCTTTTGTGTGGAGCTCAGGAGGAAGAGTTCTTACTGCAGTCCAACAAGAGATAAAAAGATAAATGACCTTATAATGGCGTTGTGATCTGATCATGTAAACGGACTGTAGGGAGGTTGTTACTCACTCTGCTGAGGCGCTGCTCTGAGGCCAGCATGTTGGAGGATCTGGAGGTCTTCATGGCTGTCGAGGTGGTGGAGGAGGAGGAGGTGGTCAGGGAGGCGTGCCTGGCCCGCTCCTGGAGTCCCGGCTTGGGCAGCCCCACCTTGGTGGCGCCCGCTTTCATCATGACTGCCCCTCAGCTAACTACACCTGTGAGACATCCGGATGAGAGAGAGGAAGATCACTGAATTAATTTCTTTTCTATGTTTTTGTCTTTAAAAAAATAAGAAACAATAAAGAGTTCTGTGATTTCACTGCAGGACGACAGAACATTTCCTGCAGCTATTCGGGTGATTCTTCTAAAACAGACGCTCTCTTTAGCATCAATGTTCAACGCCTTTAAAGGCTTCACCCCAAAGTCCGGTTCACTTGATCAGTGAGAACTAAGCTTATCACTTTTTATTCGAAGTTAGAACTGTCATTCAAACCTGGGGGAGAAAGTTCACATTGAACTGTAATGAACCGGTCAACATGTACAGTCTGTCAGATCATCAGGCCATCTGAAGTAGTTTGGAGTTTGATCCAGCAGAGGGCGCTCTCAGGGTGAATTGAACTTTGCATGCACTCTTGACCTCAGTAAATTAAGACAGTATTCAGGAGACTCGTCTCGACTTAGACAGCGGCCCACTGCTTTGTTTGGAGACACAGGGTCACTACAAACTGCAACTCTCCAAGCTGGCTCGCAAGTATTTTTGTGTATCAGGAACGTCTGAACAGTGTTCTCATCAGCAGGTCATATTGTAAAAAAAAGAGAGAGCTGCACTTGATCCTGATCAAGTTAATAGACTTGAGTCTCTGGTGAATAATGTTTCGTGTCTGTGTGGGGGCGGTGGCGGTGGGAGGGTTCTAATGTGTACGAACATTACAGTGTCCTATTCTAAATTGGTGAACACAAGCATACCGGACTCTGGCACCGTGCCTAGAAGACAAAAAGTTTAATGACTCTTCTGTTGCAAATGACAAAATGTATAAATGAGCGCAAAAAAGATACTACTAATCAGATTGGACTATGTAAATCTGTAGTTGGGGACACCCCTCATTTTGTGGCTGTTCCATCTTAAAGCTAAGAGACGCCTCTGAGGGCAGCTAAGGTTATTCTAGAAGAAACAGATTTGAAATATTTCCTGCAAGATGGAGGAGAGAGAGCTGTTCAAAGCAGCTCTACTGACCAACACTCCACTCATCTAGTGGGACCCGGGTAGAGCCATAACTGTCATCCCTCTGTGAGAAATATGGCTAAAAAGCAGAATGATGGCATTTATTTTTCCGTCTCTAACAGGATGTGGTCACGGGAGAAGGTTTAAGGTGTACATTTGAAGTCCAGAAGGGAAAGCACTTATCTGTGGAAAGAGTGCTCTGCAGGAAATGGATGGAGGTGGAAGTGCACTTAACCAAGGAGAGAGGGAAGTGGTAAAAAGCTGTGTCGCTCCATGAGGTCTCACTGAGTCATTGATCGGGATCGGGGTAACTTGATCTTCTGTGTCTGAGGGTCAAAGAGCTGTTAATGGAGAAACCCTTCAGCCGCTGCGAGCAGGGAACGAGTAAACCCTGGACCGGGATAACAGGAAGGGTACATTATTCTTTCTGCTCTGAACTCATTTCATATTCTGGAATGACTGAAATGTTGCAAACATTCAGACAATAGTTCAGAGCAGGGCAAAGTGTATGCAGTAATAATCTGTGGTAACCATTGGTCTGGACTCCTTAAAGGTCCAATCAGTGAGGTGTGTAGTGAGTGAAATGATAAAGTGACCTTACTATATGATCAGACATTAAGGAAACATGCTATGTTGAAGTGCTGGCTTCTCTGACAACAATGCAGCAGCCAGTATGTCCTCCTTCTAACTTTAGATTCTGGTCCTGAATGCTCTGGATTTGTTTGGACCAGAGAAGGTAGGCGCTTTTAAGACACCCCCACACGGCCGTTTTGGACGCCCCTCGGTTTGCCAGATATGAGAGTAGTTATCAGGTCAAACCAGGGGGCGAGGGGGAGACAGCGCTCTACAGTGTTTTGAATCTGGACTGCAGAACTCATTTTAAACACTAGGTGTCAGAGTTACATGCTGCTCCTTTAAAGATTTTTGTTTGCTGAATGGAGGAGCTCCACATCTGTAACATTAAAGAGACTACTTTTATTTCAGTGATTGTGGGCACTGACGTAGTTTCCTGATTAAGAACACGGCGTGTGCGATTAGATTTATTTAATACCTCAGAGCGTGTGCCTCTCTGCTGGCTCATCATATGATACTAAGACCTCCCTAGGCAACATCCTGTGACTTACTCCTGACTGACCTGGCAGTCGAACATCTCAGCTGTGCTGTCTCTCCTCCCTTTGAATCTGTTTACAAGGACCTCTCTCTCTCTCTCTCTCTCTCTCTGGGCTAAATTAAGAAGTGAAGCAGAAATGAGGATGTTTTTGTCCCCTGCGAGGTCAGATTAGTTTCTGATTTGAAAATGAGGGAACTATACAGTATAACACTAACACCAACTACAGCGACTCAATGTTTTACGGAACTGTGATAATCTACTCTTGTTTTGTTGTTGTTCATATTCCTTTTTTAGTATTTCCTGTTTTATTTGGTAGTCTTAGTCTGTGTATAATGTCTTGTGTTATTTCCTGTCTGTGTGTGATCCCCTCGACCTCTGATTGCCCTAACTGTTCTCACCTGTGTTTGATTGGCAGGGTATATTTGTTGTGCCATGAAATGGGCTGTTGTTGAACATGTCACAAGAAGAGACCATATGAACGGCACCCTCTTATGGTATTAACAACATCGTCAAATTTTTCTGAAAGCTTCAAGTTCCTGAATTGTGGCGTGTTTCATGACGTTTTCAGAAATGGTGGAGCCCATGGACACTAGCTACGTATGGGACCAATTGGAGCTATGAAAAGTGTTAGTCTAGTTGTTGCTTGTTCCACCATGTGGCGTTAAAACACAAAGAAATAATGTAATGTTCAAAATATAGGAAACCAGGAGGAGAACAAACTATCTTTTGGCGTCCATGTTGCCATTGCAACTGCTTTCCCATACGGTTACACCTTGAACAGCAAGACATTCCTGCTATTGACTTCAGAGCACGACTTAAAGACTTCACAACGTCCATTTAAAGGTCACATATCCTCCTCCTCTTCAACCAGTTTGAATAAGTGTCAGAGCTCCTCAAAACATTTGTTTGAAGTTTCTTGTTTTAAATCCACTCTGATCCTGTATTTGATCATGTCTATAAACCCCTCTATTTCAGCCCTGCTCAGAACAGACTGTTTCTGTGTCTGTACCTTTAAATGTAAATGAGCTGTGTCTGACCACGCCCCCTCTCTGGAAGGACTTGGGTGTCTCAGGCTTTCTTGCTCCATGTCCTGTTGTTTATGGTGAGAAGGCAGACTCAGAGGGTAGAACAAACACTTAGCTGTGGGAGTGTCACCCACCTGGGGGAGGGGCTACTGCCCTTTATGATGTCATGAAGGGAAAATCTCCAAACGGCTGTTTGAGCACACATTTTCAGAAAAGTGAAGCAGGTAAAAGATGAAGAGGATGGACTTTTCTCATCATTGGGGGGTTTGTAGACAGACTAGGGACACATCGTGTTAGAACAACATGGTGAAGTGGATTTTACATAAGATGTGAGTTTTAAAGGCTGCATTTGTCTCCATGGTCCTTCCCTGTCTTACCTGCCAGTGTCTTTCATTGGATTTTGTATTTTTACCTCTCAGTGTTTCCCTGACCCTGAGATTTTCTTCTTTGTTTTGTTGGACTTGAGTCCTTCTCAAATAAGTACCGTATTGGTCCGAATATAAGACGGCCTTTTTCCCCATCGAAATAGGTCAGAAAAAGTTGGGTCGTCTTATATTCGGGGTCTAGTATTCAGAGCGCAACTCTAATTGTTCGCCTGTCCCTTTAAATGTCAACACACATGACACGCTCTGGGAGGAGCAGGGGAGCGATGACAGTGAGAGAGAACACAGCGGGGCAGAGGACGTGTGTACAGGAGACATCGGAGGAGAAGTTTGGAGAGTTTTAGTTTAGCGGTAGTTTAGTTAAAAACGTTGCCTGTATTTCCTCTGTTATTTCAAAATGTTAAAAACATGTTGATAATATTGTTTGATTGTTAATCGATTTTAATGTTGAATCATACTGTACATAGTTCGCCCTTGTGAAACACTTTGTTTTGAAAAGTGCCGTAGGCCTATACCGATAAATACGGTATGTTAATTATTATTATAATTATTAATACAACAGGTGTTTAATTCAATGTGTTTTTAATATTGTTATTTTCAAATAAAATTAAGTTCTTTAAAAAAAGTTCTTTACAAAAACAAGATCTGGTCTGCAAATCTTTTTTTTCTAAATATGAGTGTTGAAAAACGGGGGTCGTCTTATAATCAGGGTCGTCTTATATTCGGACCAATACGGTATTTGTTTTTCCTGCTTAGTTAATTCTAGATTTAAACATGTTTTAACGACACCAGCTTCTTGAGTTTCAAGTCGCTCTGCAACAGATTCCAGGCTGAGGCTGCAGAACACCCAAACGCCTTTAAAAGCACAGACCTCCTGTAAGAGCCTACACGGTTTCATTCTAATCCATTTCACCTTCTGTGGACCACTGCAGGTCTAAATTCTGCAAACATGACCTCTGAATATTCCTCTGCAGATAAAGGATTCTCAGGAGGCAGAACTGCGTCCCACTTACCTCACACTGGCCTAGTTATAAACCCAAAATGTGCTTGAGCGACAGTCAGCAGGATTAAAACCTGAGCAACCCATGAGTAGAGACAGAGTTTGAGCTTTTCTGTAAACACAGAATGCAACAATGAGACGGGCGTATTTAACTGCAGTCTGCACCAAACCAACATGTAGGACGGTGACGTTTTGTTTTCGACTGCTAGAGAGACTGGGACAAAGATAAACATGGAATTTACTCCACAAAATACCAAATAAGGAAACCAAATATAATGTGTAGTCACCACAGGCATAAGTAATAGGTTGTCATGTTCCTTTAATTACGCTGCTGCCGAAAACAGGATGATGAATGTTGAGTCTGAATGTGGGGCAGGGTGGAGGAGGCGCTGGAGACAGTTTCAGTCAGACTGGACAGCTGAAAGGAGATAAGGAGACCCAGATCCAGACCCACTGAGAGTTAGAAGCCGGTGAAGTGTTTATCAGTTTGGTCCTGGATGAAACGTTCCCTCTCACACTATCTGATCTGATAAAAGCCTGAGGGAGAAGACAACGTGCCTCCATCACACGGGGAAGATGAACAGTGAACACTTGTGTAGTTAGGAGGACATCTGATACTTTAACATGTTAGTCCAGTCCTTTATACCCCCCACCCCCCCCGATTTAGCTTCAGTGTAATGAAAGTGCTGTTCTTACCAAAGCAGATCCAAATGTATAATCATCTAAATGTTCAACCTGCAGTCGTTCTGCTGCCCGGGAAAAATTAGTACATATGTTCAAACAAAACCAATAATTATTCCTCGCTAACCCACGACTATACGTTCCAGAGGAAACACCACGATACATGTACACATTCAGTGCAGCCAAGTCAGCTCGCCACAACCACAAGTGTTCCTCGATCAAGGGGAAATCCCAGCTGACCAGTCCCGGTCATTCTCTGACTTTCAAGAGACACTGTGTTGGAATTTGGTTGAATTTGGCACCCACCAAAGGTTTCTGAGTGCAGCTGCACGATCATAAATCAACGTGTTGTTACGGCTCACCATTACAGACAACGTTCATTTGTTGACGAGCAGAAGGCCGGTGTTGTTAGAAACCACAGAAGACCCAGTCAACTGTTAAGGTACAGTTATATTACCTAATTTTGTTGGAATATGATTTTGCGAGCGTCTACAGCCTGTTGCTAGCAAACTGTTAGCATGTGGAGTATGTATATGTGTATTCAACTGTTACCATGACGACTATAGGCTGTGCTAAATGTCTACATTGGCTCATTATAACATGCTAGTTGAGACAGGTTTGTTCCAAACTTCTGAAGCTAACTTGAAGATGGACGAGAAAAGAGACAACTTTTTGGTTCTTTGTATCAAACCTGAGACATGACTTGTGTTAGACGACTTCCTGCAGCCAGTAAAGCTGCTAGACACGAGACAATGATGACACTGCTTACGATACATGCTAACGTTACATCTCAATCTGTTCTGAGTAATATCTGACGTACGCACTTCTCATGAGATGACCTTGCTGACAAAGTTACATAGTGCTGAAAACAGGCAAGCAGAGCGCTCTGTGGACATGAGAGAGACGCCATTCTCTCTGTTGGACGTTATTGCTCGACATGATCAACTTTGAAACGACTGTTTGAAGGAGGAGAAATTACATATTGCTGCTTTAAATTCAGGTTTCCCTGCTAAAGTTCAGGACCGACTCTGTGTACTAAACTTAAGATGTTTAGCTTGTGTGTTTAATGATCAAAACTCTGCAGAAGATTTGAACATCCTGTCATTGCCACTCTTGATACTCGTACCAGAAAGTCAGGAAGCTGCAGCACTGCAAAGAAGTTTCTGCACAAACTGCTGCCTACATCAGTTGTGGCACTTACACAAGGTGCCGCACGGCCTCGCTACTATCAATCATTATTAATCCATCCATACAGCTAAATAACTTCTAGGACATTCAAGCTCTGCATCACCAGTACTGGACACTAGATGTAATTAGATTGTGGGTCGAATGTCTCAGTGTGTCATCACATCCTCTTGGTTATTTCCTGCCTGGCTCATTGGTCACATGTTTCATTTTAAAAAGGCTCTTTCTAACCCCTATAACGTACTGTAGGCATACCATAAGTCTAAATACAGACACTTCTGGTTAGCCACTGTTGTAAAACCTTGTGTAAATACTACTCTTGCATCGAGCATATGACAGGTTGCCAAAATCAGCCCAGGCCACATTTCACTTCAAACTTCTGATCCAAATTGTAAGAAACCTGCAGAAATATTCACTTTCACAAAAAGTCACTTTCTTGTCAGCTAATTATGTAAAATGACTTCTTCATTCTTCTTATTGTAAACCTTCCCCTTCAAATGTGACAGCTAACAGTCCCATCTTCAATCCACAATAGCATCCATCGTCTCAGTAAAGCTGTGAAACAACAACTGAACATGAAGCGACATGACTCCAGATTCACCTTAAAGTAATAAGTCATGAGACGGGTGATAATGACAGAAAGAAGAATCAGTGGTGCAGCTGACTCACGTGTCCTGGATGCAGTCCTACAGCCTGCCCTCTGCCTTACAGCCCTGAAGCACAACTGACCAAAATATCCGTCCTCTGCGGCGCTCTCAGAGACTCCGAGGGCAAAAAGAGAAGCGATATTAGCGACCGTTGTCTGTCTCCAAACGGCCGTCAGGATGAGGAAGTACCGCAGGCTGCCAACGGCTGCACGGTGTGTGTGCTGCTGCCTCCTTCTCTCGCTCGCTCACACTGAAAGGAAAAGTCAGAGGCTCCGCCGTGAGCATGTTTTTTCTCTCCTCTCAGATTTTCCAGACTTTTTCTCACTCATGAGGAACAGAAAGCAAGAACTGGAGAACGGTCAAGGAGGAGGAGGAGGTGGAACAAACCTCCGACATGTGGCAGTTCAACTTCAGGGCCGAGCAGAGTTCAGAAAAAAAGAGGAAAGACTTTGAATATGACCAGACAAACGCTTCACCACTGTTTTGTTTGTTCCCAGGCTTGTCTTCTGATCTTCACCTGGGACCGTGTGTGTGTGTGTGTGTGTGTGTGTGGTTTGTGTTTGAGGCCTGAGTACCTTCTGTCTCACTGACACTTTAGACTTTATCTAATGTGCTTCATGTCTGACTTACTGTAGAGTCAGAAAAATAAAGACTGATTTATGGCGTTGTTGTTGTTGTTGTTGTTGTTGTTGTTGTTGTTGTTGTGAGTATTCATTCTCAGAGTGATCTGTGGGCTGATTGGGCACAAACAGCAGATACCAACACGAGACAAAGCCAGCCTTTGTCTCACAAACACGCTTTAATGTGAGGGTGGATCATTTGTGGAGGGGTCCGCATTTTATTCTCTACCATGCTGGTCTTTTTAGGATCCCACAATGTGGGGCATGCCAAGGCCGAGGAGCATGTGGGGAGGGAGAGAACTGCACGCCGGTCCGACATGAAACAGGCTTCAGTTTGAGTTTGGTGGTTAAACTGAGGAACTTGATTTGACCACACCCCTACACCACCACAGAAACTGCTTTTTTAAAGGACTCTGCCCTGGGTTGAGTAATGGTTCAGAGAACGTTTTGAAGGCACCACGTTCACACGCTGCTGCAGAGACAGATTCTAGAGAGAGTGACTTCTGTCACCTTCTCTGTCTACATGAGTAACGATGTCACATGCATTCTTTTAAAGGAGATATACTCTGCTGACACATATTAAATACATAATGTTACAACGTCCACACTAAACCCCGGTATAGTTCTGCACGGGGATTTACTGGTTCTACCTATTATAAGCATCACCATGTTTACATTTTCCATCTGATCTGTGGATCACGAGCAGCCCGAACCGTAGAGGGTTGATCTGAACGGACCGCGGCTCTAGCCTGATCCTTTTTATTATCATTATAACGACCCAACAGGGTAAAGTAAAGCACAGTAACGCAGATCCATTCTGTAAACATCCTGAGCATGACAACAACTCCAGATTTACAGTCAAGTTGAGTTAGCAAACAGGAAACAGAGTCACACTACAGCAAACACTATAAAAAGTAATAAGAGAGAACAAGAAGCCATGTGGCTCGATGGTAAAGAGGGAGGGAGCTCTCAGGGGATTCCTGCCATTGTGTGAACCAGGACCCTGAGTGGAAGGAACTCTGGTACCACACTCCTCAGACTAAACAATACGCAGGCACGCTGAAGCTCTGCAGGGCTGCCTGCTTCTCAAACTCTTCCTTTTCCTCTCTCCACAAGAAGGTGCCGTGAGTCAGCCTCGCCACATACACACACACATGAACAATCAACACGTTCTCTGATGGTGATTCAGCCGAGTGAAAGGACCGGCGCAGGCACGGCACCTCCTCTCAACTCTGGATCCCATTGGCCGTTAAATGCCAGGAACAGTGAATCGAAGGTCGTTATAAGCCGAATGAGGCGTCGATCAAAAGGTCAGAGAGCGGCCCCACTTTTGATGATGATGCATTTGTGGCTCAATACGATACTGTGCGGCGGACACGTCGAGCAGCAACGCACGAAGTGAAGTCGACGAAAGTGAACGCAGCACAGGTTCAAGAGGCCACGTTTAGCGCTGCCAGAGACGCTTCAACACCCGCTAGAAACACACGACGCTAAACAGTAAGAAAATATGACTCCAGTCACATCCTGTTTGGATTCTTTTGGAGTAGAACAGAGAATGAGCTGAGGCCGCAGTGCGTGGTGTTCAGTCAATAATAAATGTTATGCATCTCAAGAATAAAATGGCCGCATGTGTAAACTGTATTTAGTTAAGTAGCCCTACGTTACTGTATTTTAATGTTGGCCTTAATGGTGGTACTTGGAGAGCCCCTGCGACTCCCCCTCCCAGGTACAGCTCCATTCTGTGGGTGTGCGTTACATGCACACACATTAACGTACCACTTGTGCCTGACCACGTCGGCAGCTCTGAAGCATCTGTACAGCAGCTGGATTGTTTGAAAGCGTGTTAGCAAAGTGGTTATCTCAGCTAAAGTGAAACAGGAAGAGGGTGGGATTAATCTGCGGCCCATGCTGTGAAGCGGTCTCTGCTCTCCCCGTGGGTTTCCCCTTCAGTCTGGAGGGATATGAAACTAGAGCGCAACAGGACAAGAAAAAAAAAAACTCCTTCCCAAGCAGAATCGAGGAAGTTGCAGCCGAGAGCAAATGTGTGAGAGGTGCCAAACACGGCTGAGTGCCAACAGCTGTAGAAATACGAACAGACTAAAACTCAGACTGGTTCTGACACCTGGGGAGGGGGAACCCTGAACCTGCAGCGAGGACGCAGTATTTCACAGATCCTATGAGAATACATTTTGGGTTTGAGGCTGTTGACTACTGGGCAAAAGGGTTGGGGGTACAGAATGCTGAAGTTAAAGAAGATAGATTTATTTAACATTTAATTATGTTTCTTAACCTCATTTTCTGAAAACGGTTGTGTGGGGGTGCCTTAAAACCGCCTACCTTCTCTGGTCCAAACAAATCCAGAGCATTCAGGACCAGAATCTAAAGTTAGAAGGAGGACATACTGGCTGCTGCATTGTTGTCAGAGAAGCCAGCACTTCAACATAGCATGTTTCCTTAATGTCTGATCATATAGGAAGGTCACTTTATCATTTCACTCACTACACATCTTACTGGTTGGACCTTTAAAGTGTTTCATTTGATGTACAGCACGTGTATTTATAAGCTAATTTAGCATCCAGGTGGTTTGTCATGCTGTCCTCTGTATTGTATTCTCTTTCTTTTAAAGGTGTGCATGTAGACACCCAGTCGTCTGAAGTTGCTGTACTGAATTAATCTGATTTTGCACAGCGCTGCTGGCGTGAAAATAAACCTGCTCCCATTGGCTGGAGAGCTCCTGTCCTTGTTTCATCCTGACTCTACACAACCCAACGGAGACAGACTTCTGCAACAGGACAGAGACCGCCTACACTAGCATGACTTTTCAATGAAAATTCAGAGAAACTATTCATCAGCATTTGAATAAGAAACAGCTGAAAAGTGAGAACTTCCTAAATCAGCACATTTTTAGAGAGGGAAAAACTGAAGTGTAAAATGCTGAGCTGTTGACATCCTTTGATCTGAACGGAGATCAATAAGTTGTTTGACTCGCTTCATGCTAATAACGCCAGAGGTTCTAAAACTTTCAAAGCTCATTAAGTTCACTTAGAGTCCAGGCTGGAAAAGTTCATATTCCAATGATATTTAGTTCTGAAGGAGAAATGCAAAAAACTTCAATCCTGACTGCTTATTAATAAAAGAGTATGAAGGTGGAACTATAACTCCCTAACCGGCCCTCTCAAGAACTACAACTCCATAAGCATGGCTCTAACAAGAACTACAACTCCCTATACCCTGCCCTCACAAGAACTACAAATCCATAAGCAAGACTCTAATAAGAACTAAAACTCCCTATACCTGGCTCTAACAAGAACTACAACTCCCTATACCTGGCTCTAACAAGAACTACAACTGTCTATACCTGGCTCTAACAAGAACTACAACTGTCTATACCTGGCTCTAACAAGAACTACAACTGTCTATACCTGGCTCTAACAAGAACTACAACTGTCTATACCTGGCTCTAACAAGAACTACAACTCAATATACCTGGCTCTAAAAAGAACTACAACTCAATATACCTGGCTCTAAAAAGAACTACAATGCTCAATACCTGTCCCTAACAAGAACTACAACTCCCTATACCTGTCCCTAACAAGAACTACAATTTTGTATATGGCCCTTATAAAAACTGCAACTTCCTATACCTGGACCTAATGAGAACAAAGATTGCCTATGCCTGGCTCTAACAAGAACTACAACTGCTTATGTTGTCTTCTTAAATGTTGGTGTCTAAAAACCAACAAATGTTCTTTTCTTTGGCTTTGAAGAAATACACAACCTTCAAAACCCTAAATATAATTACAGGCAACAGCTCTCTTGTGCACCGTGCAGCAGTCACACAGTCGTCCATTATTTCACCTAAAAGCGGCCTGCCCTGGCTGCAGCAGGCATACAGTAGTAGGAGCTGAAATAGATACAGCCCTCATGCATATTTCATCTGCTTCATCCTCTCATCTCTCTCTCAGAGCACAGCTCCCCTGAGGGGCCAAACTTCCTGCTCGGATGGTGTCAAAGTTCTGATCTGATAAACAGTCGGTCAGAGCCTCGCTTTCAGAGACTTCCTCTGCTTTCCTGTCCGCTCAGCCGGCTCCATGTACAGTGAGTGGGTGGATTTCCATAGAAACACGAGCGTAGCATCCATGAGAAGTACAAGAGGAAGAAAGACCAACCCTAAAAAGAGCTCAGTGAGTTGGACATCATTGTGTTGGTGATCAAACCCTCCTCTGTGTCCTTTGAGTTAAGTACACAGACGTGTGGCATGAGAGCTATTTGATGTGCGCTGCGGGGCGTGTCCACTGAATGAGGAGACACTTGAAGAGATCACAATGGGTCAGACCTTTTTGAGCCATCGAGCAAATACTTTAACGACACTCATCGTCATGCACATCAAAACATCACACGAGTAAACTCGATCATCCTGTTCCCCTGGATCAGACAGCTCCACATTATTTACAAGTCTCTCTCCTTGTTGACTCGCACATCACGACTCTGCAAGACTGTGTTCTTGTTGTGAAGCTGCAGTGGAAACAAAAGAAGCCTGACATTCATTTGAAAAGACAACATCTCTGACGTGGCCCAGGTGACCCATTTACTCGAGACTCGAGCATTCCTCGCCTCTGAGACTCTGACCTAGTGATGCTTGTCAAGGTTTCGGATCGTTTCCTGGACGGTCCTCAGTTAAGACGGAGCGGAGTGGAAAAAGCAGCTTGGAGTTACCTTCCCTCACAGCTAAATATACACCGCCTTCAGCTGAACTCATTGCTGTGCCAGGGCTGCTCCGTTTCTCTCCACCGGCCGTCTGCTCCACGCTGTTTAAGAAGAAGGAACTGCACGAGGATATCTTGGCAAT